CAATAACATATTAAACTTTGTTACGTACATACTCTATATATATATGGTTTAATATACAATGATAACTATTGCAATAATGCTAGTCTTTCTTGTTCCAAATCTTTATATTGGTCCCTTTGGTTCTCGATTTCTTCTCTTACCTTATTAATATACACATCCAATCTGGCCAACTCGTCAATTTCGTCGGGCCTGACGTACTCTTGATCTCTCTTGGATTCATCTGATAGCTTATATGGCAATAGATTCAGTGGCTTTTGCGTCAATACCTCGAAAACCTTCTCAGTGGGTTCTTGGAAAACTAGTTCATCATACAATACAGAGTGAACTTCACCATTCTCTTTTGGTGGATGTTGGGGATTGAACGGGTGTAATTTAAGACCATGGAATATCTGGAAGTTCTTTTCGTTAATTCCTAACTCTGCTCCCGAGTGGAAATGCAATTTTATTATTATTTCAAACTCCCCCCACCCGGTCTCTGTAACTTGATATGGCGGCTTTTCGACCGATCGTACAGGTGTATCATATGTTTCATGTAGCTTGAACGTAACTTTTTTGATTAACGGAGTCAAATCTATGTTATCAAGAACTGGTTTAAAAAAAACTGTCCACTCGTGTGTATGATCTGGTGGGGTTTTTTCGGTTCTTTTTTCAGGAGCAAGACGAACAGAATGGTTTCCATAAAGTACTGGAACCGCAATGGATACGTTTTTTATTCTTTTAGAGCTAGAACTCATATTATATATACCAAACGATGTAATAAACAAGTCTTAAGGGACTTTCATCTGAATTGAAACTGTTGATAATTTGTGCGCGTGGATTTCACGAGCTCACGTATTACTAGAGAAATGAATGCTTAATATATACAATTATTAGATTAAACAGCTGTACATGATTAAATTATACTAGTGGATATATATATATATATTTATTAACAAACCGCATTATAAAATCAGTGAAAAACGAGAGAACTCAAACTCGTAATCCATGATTATAATTGCTTAACAGCAGCCGATGGGACAGAAGTAACCAGGGCTAAATTGTTGAGTTCCAGCGCTTCTTTCTCATTTTCTTCACGCATCATAATGGCTCTTAACTTACTTTCTTGTCCCATAATCTTGTGCAAGTTTCTAAAATGAATATAGAAAATAACTGTAAATACACCGCCGACAATTGCCAAAGCCGCAAAATACCAGACAAAGTTTGGATCTTTCAATGCTGGACTGATGGCATCACCAATAGCAGCAGCTATAGCAGTTGCAAGTAAGAACAAAGCTTGAACAAAACCTTTCAAGTGAGGTGGAGCTCTAGTATAACCCAATTCGTAACCAGAAGTATTAGCAAAACATTCAGAAGCAGCAGATAAAATGTATGGCATCACCAGGACCCAGGCACTAAATGGCGCTACTATACCTTTATCGACACATTCTGTCGCATGGTCTCCACATTCAATTTGGCTATAAATTTCTTTTTGAATGATCGCAGCTGCTACCTGAGACAAAGCTGCCAAGAAGAAACCAAAGGTGATTCTCAAGACCGGTCTAAAGTCTATCTTCCATCTACGCAATAAAGGATAAATGCCGTAATCCAACACTGGGATAAGGAAAATGATAGTGATTGGATTGAAACTACTGTAGATATCATTAGGCGTTCCATCACTAGTCAAAGATCCTGATTGTGCAGTTAAAGCTGGTGTTGCTCCGGTACCACCAGCATCACAAAGATTGAAGATGATGAAGTAAAGGAAAACTTTGGAAATATTAACAATTTGCTTGACATCCAACACCCATTGATCAGTCCAAGTAATTGGCTTCTTTTTCTTCGCAGAATAATATTCCTCGCCTCTTGCATTCATGTTGGTTGGAGCCGCGTAATCCCAAAATGTGTTGTTTCTTATTCTCTTTATCCAGTTTCCTCTAAACAGAACGTGCAATATTTTGTTAGTGTTGACCATAACAGAGCTTTGAAGCTCTTCCTTCTTAAGTCTTGGGCGCACAAACCAAAATACTGCTGGAATAATGAGGTATATAATGATCGGGATGAAGAATGCAAACCAAAATCCAATTCTTTGTTCGATATAAACACTTGGAATAGGGAAAAGTGCACCAAGGTTAACGGACCAATAGAATACCAAGACCATTCTTTCCAATGACTTTTGACGGTCAACAATAACCTTTTCTCCAGATGGCAACAATTTAACCACATCCGTCTGCTCAGGGTATTGATCCATCAAGAGCGGTAATAAATTAGGTTTGATAAAACCAGTACCAAACGCCAACGTAATTATACCTAACGCAGTAGGGACAATAGCATTACCTCCTGCAATAACAGCAGGAGCAGCAGCTACAACAAGTAAAATGTGAGCAACAAAACCACAAACAACACCAATCCAGATGGCTTTAAATTTTCCAATTTTCGAATCAGCAACATAACCAGCATATAACGGAACAAGATAGGCAACGAAAGTCAAAGTATAAGTAATGGCAGTAGCAGCAGGCACACCCAACCCTAAAGCACCAGGATTAGGATTAACACTACCAGGCATAAGCTTACCGGTTGTACTTCCCTCAGGCAACTTGTTAGTAACAAAGTTACTTAAGAGAGTCTGACACGAATAATACGAGGCTCTTTCAGCAAATTCGGCCACACAAAGCAAATAACAAACCCAGTCAGCCCTTCCCAAAACTCTTCTTAACGAAGAAGCTTCCTGTTTAGTAGGCTTTCTTAACCCCATAGGATTATGATCGTCGACAAACGTGGTTGAGTAATTGTTCGAATCGTCATAATCGTAGATAGCTTCATCTTCAAACTCTTCTTTCGAGACAATAGAAGCATTATCGTGATTTGGGTTGAGATGAGTCTCCGCGACTTCATGTTCTGCCCTCTCGTCCACGCTATAGTCCTCTTTAACTGGGTCTTTCTCACTAATTTCCTTTACGCTCGTCATACTTTCCTTTCAAAAGACTCCTAATCCAACATCAACATGAATATATCATTTTGAAGATAATGCTTTATATTTTAAATCAAAAAACTGTGGAGACAATATCGTGGAGCCATTCGACAAACGGCAAACGCGAAAGGTGATAAGCTCGTATCGCTCACGGCGCTGAAAAATCAAAATACGATAAAGAGGGTTATCTTCCACTTCTTAATGTGGATAAGGGACGAAAGGCATCGGCGATCTGAACGTTAGAGTTATACTTATATGATGCCTTACAAAATGGATGTCATCCCCATCTATTGGCTCTTGTGATCTTATCGCGCCATTTGCTAGACACATGCAAATGATAACTGTCAAGCAATATTTTTTTTGTTCGTGCCGCGTGATATTACCGAGTATAATTAAGAGAGCTTAATTAAGATAATCCTCGACAAGAGGTTCAAAACCTTTATTGTTTCTTTTATTGTACCATTTGTGGTGAGCATTCGCGATGACGGCGATTTTTTTTTTTATTTCCAATTTCTTTTAGCGACGGACGTTTAGATTTGTTGCCTCATGGGACATTTTGTTGATAACAATAGTAGTTGACTGATCACAATAAATTGATTATTCTCTCTTCGTATACGCTTATTTACAACTAGACCAAGACTAAGACGAATGCAGGTGAAACCCTAAGCTATAGAATTGGAAATAAGTGCTGGGGTAGTAAATCTGAACTTAAAATGCTATTATTGAGACAAGTAACAATGTAGAGGTATATTACTAATTGTAAGATAAAATTGAGATTTCCAACTGTGGCTCAATATAAACTCGCAAATCAGACATGTATATTAAGCAAAAATGATAGTGGACAGTACCGAAATTGGGTGTAATATGGTATGATAGTGTCATCATACACTTCTCTTATACAGTCCTAAAGTATTTTCAGTCGTTTCCTCTCATTAGATAGTTTAATGATTGTAACAACGACCAACATACATCCGTTGTAGATTTAACTCTCCTTCCTCTTCAGTCCTTGTTAAATGGTACAACTACCTTTAGAAGGGTCCAGGGAGTTCTCCAGTAGAGAGAATTACTACCGCATGATCATTAATATGCATGGAAAATGTATGCTTTAAAAGTTACACCATTCCCAACCAGCCAATGCATGTATGAAAATTTGAAGGAAGAAATGATTTCCATTTAATGGGATAAATGCAGGGTTGACGTTAAAAGGCGACTCGGGGGTACCTATCTGTGGAAAATTCTCAAAACTATTAGCATTGCAATATAAATATTGGGAACATTCATTTAGTACACGTTAGAAGACCTTAGGTAGGCTGCTTACCCAATATGCTGTAAAGTGAGTGACATTAGCTCTTGCATACATATTTGGATATATGATAAGCATAGTAAAAATCATAAAACAATCCTATCAAAACAGGAAATATAGTAAAGGTATGCTTTCTGATAAGGCTGATAGCCACAGTCTTTCTTACGAAACAGCTTTGGAAGAAATGAGCCTAATTTAAATTATACAAGGACAGCAAACAAAATTAACTAAGAAAGAACTCCAAAGCTAATCACATAGATTTTGTTTTGCGTTATTTTAGAATGATTAAGATGAATATTAACTTACGAAAGAAAACTATTGAAGATCTAACAATATTTAATTAATACTGCACTTCAAATAGTGGGAAATAATTCCTGACACTCTATCTAGAATTGTGTTTCGTGAGTCAAAATATTATTGATCGATCAACTATGATAAACTCAAAGAAAAAGCACAACATGACTTAGATCAAAATAGAAGAACGATTCTGAATTGAACTAGTTCTAAGTTTGCCATCAGAATGTTTTCTTGGCGATAGCTCCTCCAAACGTAACCAATCTTCCTGCAGAGTATGGTGGTGATAGCTCTGTTGCATAATCATACGGGCCCCTGCATATTTAATCCTATTTGTGACGTGCGCAAAAGGTTCTTTGTGGCTAAAGCTTATAATTTACATTTAAGGGACTGTTTCTCGCATAAAATTATGCAAGAGCAACATTGCCAGTTTATCATTAATTAATATATATTAACATGACAAAACAAAGAAATGAGCTATTTCCAAGACTTGGTAGTTGCGTCGAGGATACACTAGCTGATATGATCAAAAAAACTGTCAATGATAACATTCAAAATATTGTTCAGCAAACAATTGAAAGTTTAAATCAGAACCCACCAGAATGGTTCACTAGAGAAATAAGTGGATTAAATACAAAAATCGATGCCTGTTCTGACGAAATTAAAGGGCTTAAGAGAGGTTTTAAAGATCTTAAGGGGGATTTTGCAGATTTTAAGGGGGATTTTGCAGATCTTAAGGGGGATTTTGCAGACCTTAAAGGAGACATGGATTCTGGTTTTAAAATGTCCGAGTACAGACATGCATGTTTATACAATATGGTCCGGAGAATGAATGGAAGTTCAGCAGTTCCCGTTCCGTTCTTGAATGTGGAAGCTATGCTGGATGAGTTATCCCCAATTGGCTCGGTTGAAGATATTGACTCATTGAGTAAACAAGAATGCCAAACGTACTTGAGAGCATACAATGTTGAGTTTCATCCAAATGAGTCTGTCAAATTAAAAGAAAAGTTAAGAGATGCAATAGGTTTAGCAGTTGGTCATGATGTGGGATTTCTGTTTGGAAATTTCAATAGTTGTTAGTTTTATCTTAAAGTAGATTTGCTTAAATAATTCATTTTAGAATATTTATCTATTTGTTTACACTTACAGTTTATAGTTCAATAGTATTGCTAATTACACTAGAGGTTTGAAAGTTTTAGTTCGAATAATCACATAGATAATGAATAAATCAGAGCTGAATTTTAATTTGCACTTTTCTTAAGAAGTAATAACAAAGAAAGAATCTTGTATAAACAAAGAGCTATATTGAAGCTTGATATATGATAAATATTGCACTCTGATAACTAAATCAATTTCTGACAATGTATCTTGAATAATACATTGAGTTCACATATCTATCATTCCATCAAGTACGATAAGCTCGAGGATAGTAAGCACAACCAAAGTCATAGTCATTAGTCATTAGCCCAATAACACGTATGACTATGATTAAAAGGATGGAACTTCAAATTAATATGGGCAGTAAATAGATTCTAGCATGACTTCTCAAACTGGGTGGTGTATTCGTTGAGGTATAAACCGTCGCATAATCATACAGATCCCTGCATATTTTAATCCTATGTGTGACGTGCGCAAAAGGTTACTTGTGGCTAAGCTTATAATTTACATTTAAGGGACTGTTTCCAAGTTATTATATGCAAGAGTAACATTTCCAGCTTTATCATTTAATATATATTAAATATTACAGAACAAAGAAATGAACTATTTTTCCAAGACTTGGTAATTGCGTGGAAAACACACTAACTGAAATGGTCGAAAACACTGTCAGTAATAACATTCAAAATATTGTTCAGCAAACTGTTGATCAAAGAATGGAGAGTTTAAATCAGAACCCACCAGAGTGGTTCACTAACCAAATGCGTGAATTAAAGGAAGACATGGATTCTCGCTTCAAAATGTCCGAGTACAAGCATGCATGTTTATACAATATGGTCCGGAGAATGAATGGAAGTCCAGCTGCTCCCGTTCCGTTCTTGAATGTGGAAGCTATGCTGGATGAGTTNTCCCCAATTGGCTCGGTTGAAGATATTGACTCATTGAGTAAACAAGAATGCCAAACGTACTTGAGAGCATACAATGTTGAGTTTCATCCAAATGAGTCTGTCAAATTAAAAGGAAGGTTAAGAGATGCAATAGGTTTAGCAACTCCTTATGACAGGAAGTTTCAATTCAGAAATTTTATATAGTTAATAGTGTTGTTTAATTTAGATTTACTTGAAAAATAATTAGCTTTCGAAGACTTTATCTATTAATTTACAAGCATAGTTTATAGTCCATAAAGATAGCTAATTTTACAAGCGGCCACATCTTAGACTCATATTCTTTAATCCAATGTTACAAAAAGAAATTAGGTCATCTTCAAAAACTTCATTCATCAACAGCTATCTTCTACTAGCACACTCCGACCCTATTATGTATTACATCCAGACAATCGAGACCGTAGACAATTAAGCTATTAAATAATTATTTATACATCGTCCTAAGGATTCACACATAATCCTACAAACGTAAAATTACTGGATGCAAAGTATTCGAAGAAAATACTTCTAATATACATGTTTGCCTTGATTTAATAAAAACATAAACTACTCACAGTTTTCCAGAATGGACTCACCAGGTACTTCCTTTGTCTAGTCTTGATTATTCTAGAACTAATGCTTATTATTTCGATACTGTATGCATCGAAGTACAGCCAAATTTAGGTGTAACGTTGTTGATCAGAAAACTATCGCAGTCTTGTTACAATAAAGAGCTAGAAATGGAATATACGATTAAACTCTCGATTATGACGTCGATCACACAGAAAAAGGAAGAAATCTCGAAGTAAGTCAGTCAGAGATTAACGAATCGAAAACAATATATATATACATATATAAATAGTGCTAAAAGTTCTATATCTAACCTAACTAGGCATCAATGGTTTCCATTCCGACATCAGCTTGCCATTACCATCAGAAGATGTACTTCTTGCCGAGGTAGCAGGTGTTGAATTTGGAATATCAGATGCAGACGTAGCTTCCAGGGATGACGACTTGGTTTTAGACGACGCTAATGACGCTGGTTTTGTGGGAACAATAGGATTGAGCTTTGGATGTTCTTGATTCAGCGCATTTCCGGTGGTAGTCGGTGTTGAAACAGGCGAGCCTCTGGACGGAGTTGCAGAATTCGATCTACTGGAGATAAGTGGAGTACTAGAGAACCCGATTGGAGGTTTCATTGGATTACCCGTTTTTCTCGACGGAGGAGGTGGTGGTGGTGGCGTAGATGTTGACGTAGATGCAGATGGAGAACGTAGTAATGGATTTGATATAGACTTTGAAGGGCTTGGAACGAGCACTTCTTGATTATATGGCGTAGGTGGTAGCTTCCTTGGGAACGCATTCGAAGCTGATTTTGTTTGGTCCAGGGAGATTTGTTTTCTGCTCATTGGTGGTGGAGGAATTCTCTTCGGCAATGTATTTGTACGTTCCATTGGACGTGCGGGCAATTTTGGAGCGTCCGTATCAGCATCATCAAGGAGGTTCAACTCTGATAAGGTGTCCATAGAAAAACTTGAATCTGAATTTAACGACGAAGGTTTTGACGACAGGGTCATGCTGTCTGATAATTCCAATAGTGAAACTTCACCTATATCGCCATGCTCCTTCTTATAAGTATCGTATAAATGCTTTGAAAGCTTGATTTTCTTTTCTTCATCAACAAATTTGACTCTACTTTTGAGTGTCGAATATACGGGTTTATGGTCACTTGCAAATATATTCATGCATGAGTTATAATTTAATTGTTTTAATTGATCGACACCCTTAGATGACATGTACAAGACTCGATCTGTCCATGACGGTATTCTTTGTTTTTCGGACGAGTCATAGTTTGATGTTCCCTTATCAAACTTGTATGTAGGGTAGAACTTAATAGCTCCTTCTTTGAAACCGTAGAAAGCACCCTTACGGGTAATTTCTTGATTTAGTTGGTCCACCGCCGTTAGTTCATCAAATGCTCCGTTTTCAATAAAGTATCTACATTGATCATTAGGCAACGATACACGATAATTCAAATCACCAAACCAAATAATATGGTCATGGTCTTTAATTGTAAAATTTCTAGTAAAAGTTAAGCCAGACATAATAGTCATATAATCATTATATCTTTCAACTAGAGCAGTGGTGCCTGCCGCCAAATGAGAAGTAACCAATACAAATGAAGTCAGCCCAAACTCGAACCTCACACCACAAGCACCTTTGTTAGCGGCAATACCACCTAACCCAGTCTTCTTGGATGAACCAGCCACCAGTGTTACTTTATGAACTTGACTCTTTTTAACGAACAAGAAAAGTGACATTGACGCAATTGATTCGGCTCTCAATAGCAAGTAAGGTTCCCCTTGAGAATTTAATTGGGTATCCAATAATTTTGCCCATAAGGATGGCTTGGAGGAGTCAGAACTTAAAATTGATCCCGCATTTAATTCTATTACCTCTTGTAAACCAATCGCATATACATCTGGAAGTTCAATTTCAGTGTTTTCTGGTGGGAAGAGAAAGCTGGCTAAGTCAAGTTTACCATGAGGTACAGCAGCATTCACATTGTAAGTACCGACAAATATGTTTATATCGTTCCAAGTTGTAAATGAACCTGCTTCCCCTTGCAACTTTTCTTGAACAAATTCGTTGATTGGATCATATATCCTAACCGGTAAGGAATTCTGTGCATCATAACCCAACAATAAATCCATCGTTGATTGCTTTTTAGAGTCCAAAAATGTGTTCTGGTACATTCTAGAGACAGATTTTGTGACATCGGAAAGAGCTCCTGCAAAATTCATCTTACCTGATCTTGAAAAAGAAGATTTTAGAGCGTTTGTTCCGGTATAAATCTGTGATATAGCATCACCATGATCCGCCCAAAGGGTATTATGCTTGTTGACGAGATCCTCCACAGCGTACCGTTCATGAAGATTACCCTCACGATTACCAGCGCGTTGATTCTGCAAAGTATGTTCCAAAATGCTTTGACAAATAACTTGTTGAATCAAATTGGTTCGGTCCAAACAATCCAAGCAATTAGTACGGAAGACACCATCTTGTCTGGTGACGGTTTCACCTTGGTCAGAGTCGTAAACAAACCATCCAAAGTTCTCTAAAGAATCAAAAAGCATAGGCAAAATTTTCGTAGCTCCCGCAAAACCACCACTCAGTTGCTTTGTTTCATGATGGAAATCAAATTCACTAAATGCCATCTCATCCCGGCGATTAGACCCATTATATAATTGTTTATAACGGCGCAGGACTTGAACCTCTGCAGGTTTAGTCTTAGATAGCAAATTTATAATATGACAAACACCGTACTTTTGACATATTTCTGTAAAATGCTTGTCAAAAATCGGTTGCGTTGCCTCAAGAGACCTTGTAAGAGTGATCTTTGGATTAATTAAAGTCAGATCCTGTTCCCAAAATGTTGGTACAGACCCCCTAATCTGAGTAAACGATGTTATTTGTTCACGGGTCGGCTGGTTGAAAATGAACTCGGTTTCCACGAAATTGGCCACATTACCATTATCATCTATACCACGGGCATTAAATCTAGTACCAGCTCGTTTCCACGATTGTTTGGATATAATGGTCATATTTTCACCCGACGAGTTCAAATTGACCGTTTTGGCAAAACCTCTGATAACCGTAGTCAAAAATCTATTGTCGTCCAAGGTAGATTGCACGTACGAGTCCAATTTAGACCTGAATTCGAATATCTCGCACATCATAAATGAATTCCACATGTAGTCTTCCAGGTAATGTTCGAGGTTGATCTTCCTCACACCATCCTTTTCATGGTGTAGTCTTGAACTTTGAATACCTCTATTTTGGATTAATGACGTCAAATCAAAATCATTGGAGTAGTAGAACGACCCGTTCGACAATAGCTTTTGCATCTCATGACATGGATGTGGCTCTCTGGCATAATTATTCTCCGCCTCAAATTCGTCTGCAGTTGAAGCCAATGGAAGTCCCGATGTATCAAGACTAACAAAGTCCCATTCATCACTCGACAATGAGACAAAATCCACCGAATAAATCTTATCTACCGACTCATAGTCCACCGGATGGGCCACGCCGGTCATTGCTCCCGTAATTATGGCCAAAAATGCCTTTTTATCAATGCTTATTAGACCTAAACATCCAAATACTTCTTTTTTCAACAATGGCTTAAATCCGTTCTCCTTGGTTATCTGGTCGTTGGGCAATAATTCAACAGCGACGGCCGATTCCTTGGGCAAATGTTTGGATCTATTGGTATTTAGTTCCTGAAAGCATAGCGAATGTGTATCCGAACGTATACCAATTGTACGAGGATTTTCTTTGTAAATTACCTTCATTATGCACTAATCTGTCGGTTCCGTAGGAGATATTCAATGAATTCTTCCTAGGTACCTTAGACGTAACTGATTTATCAACGTTGGCGGATCCGGGACTAACCTGTAAACTGATTTGGACTTTACATGTTAGATAGAAAAGTCTCTTCAGGCCCATATAGGCCCCAATAGACCCCCTAATAGGCTGCTGGAGTACGGAATAGAACTAGACGAGAGGTCGGGGTATAATGGTGTACTTACCTCCTTCTAATGCTGAAAAGATTTATACATTTGTGAGACAGAAGCTGGCATAAGCATAGCAAGAGCCCACGGGAGCGGAAAATTCTCATTTGAAGCTGAACAGATAATTGTTTCTGCAAAGACCACCAACTAAAGTTACTGTTCTGTACTAGAAGTCGTACTACAGCTGATATAAAGTCATCGAAGCCGAGCCGATGATGGAGATAATCGGAGAAACTGTTTATTTAAGTTTTTGTGTTTTTGTGTTTTTGCGGCTCATTGCAACCTATATAGAGCAGAAAATTGGTCCACAAACACAGAACCCATTCTATACGACCCATATCGATCATTTCCACGTATATTTTGTATTTGTTAGTGAAACACTGTCAATTGACGATGTTTCGACTACATGATCCTTGTTTGCTTGCAACTGAACTCTGCGCTGGAAGTCACCACCTTTTATGCACCACTAGTCTAATTTATCTCTCTACGTGAACCAGTTTTCCACCAAAGAAAACCAGTATATATGGTCCCATAGTAGTACTAGCCTACTTTATAACCTCGACTGGGGCTATATTCCCTTCCAATTATCGTCTACAGAGGTAATATTGCAAAAAAGGTATTTATGTCCTGATTACGTAATCAGGGACTAATTTTCATGAAAAAGTTCAACGAAGCTAATGGTATTACCGTTTATATTGTTCATTTGTGAAGAAACATAACACTAAAGTATTAATTGACGTAAAATGGCATCTCCAAACTACCAAATCACCTTATCCGATGAATCGAAGGAAAGAATCACCAAGGTTTTGGAATACTCCAAGACTATTGCTCACTACGGGTTCATTCCATTCGTTTTGTACTTGGGATGGTCAGCCACCCCAAACAGACCATCATTATTCAATTTGTTGAGTCCTTTCCCATCCGCTTAAGGAGGGTAAGTCTAGCGGGTGCTAGCACGAGCTAGCACAAGCGGACAAGCAACTGTACTGGTATGAATGAGCACTCGGATGGAAACATGGCAAATATACATGGATCATTCGGTGCATAATTGGTCGTAGGATGGTTATTGTGATGGCTTGTGCATTAGAGGTTCGATGTATACATTTATGATGGCGACGGCCCCTTCTTTGTGTATGGCTTATTATGTATATAGTTTGTTCAAGAAATGAATGTTATTCTATTATTTTATATTGCTCTAATATTAGATATTGTACTTGTAGAGAATGCCCACTGATCCGGTTCACCGAACAAGTACGAAATTTTACTTGTGCTGAGCTACAGAAACGAAGTTCATTGGGGGCAATTAGAACTGATATGGGAGTGCTGTGAGTCTGCGCATTTTTCAGATCAAGATGAGCTTAGCAAGAGACTTATGGAAGCCATATAACAATACATTAATACTACAAGAAGACCAAAATAATGGCTATAGAGCAAGCTAGCAATGGCACAATGTTCAGCAGAAGACAGGTTGAGATAATATCGGGGCTTCTAGCCGGGTTTTCAACTACCATCGTGATGCATCCATTAGACTTGATTAAAATAAGATTGCAGCTATCACCCGAAATCAACACCAAGCGATTCAAGTCATTGATAGACGTCATATCCAAGATAAATATGTCGGCGACCACTGATTTTCATCAATATAAACAAGCACATCATTCGTCTGGCATAAAAAGTGCCATTCTCGGACAATATAAGCTTCCCCATACGGTGTTACAGTACTATAGGGGAATAGGACCTAATATAGGAGGGAACATCGTGGCGTGGTCGTTATACTTCACATTGTATGCTGAATTTAAACGGTTGATTGATTTTTCAAGTCCCACTGCCAACTACTTCACGTCATCCACGGCTGCTGGTGTGACGACTGGATTATTGACCAATCCAATCTGGGTGTTGAAGACAAGAATATTGGGGAGCACCAGAAGCGATACAGGTGCATACAGATCTGTCACCGATGGGGTAAAAAACATGCTACAGAAAGAAGGAATCCGCAGTTTCTGGAAAGGAACCATTCCCGGGTTGTTCCTGGTATTCCAGGCCAGTTTACAATTTACCTTCTACGATCATTTCAAACAGTATCAGCTCTCCAAAAAATCTTCCACAACCGATAGTTTATCCACAGGCGAGTACATTGCGTCGTCTGCTGCATCTAAGATCGTGAGTACCATAATCGCGTATCCGAGCCAGGTCATCAAGTCGAGGCTTCAGAACTCCACCACTGAGTACAAATCTATAATCTCCACGTGTAAAGATGTCTGGCATAACGAGGGTCACTGGCGTGGATTCTACAAGGGAGTTGGAACCAATATGCTTCGGGTTGTGCCCGCCACTTGCATCACTTTCGTGTCGTACGAGACGGCAAAGGACATCATGTCCCACATGTAATGTAAACCCGTATGTTAACATTTATAGACCCCTATACAAACCCCTATATATGTATCATAGATAATCAATAATCGTTATAAAGACCATTAACCCTATTAAGGCCTAAATTTCGATGTTTTCACGTGAATCGACATACGCGTTATGGTAAAACATTTCTCTTTGGTGTTGATGATCTTGTTCCTTATAACACCAGCTAGTAGACCCAGGGAAATGACAGAGAGTAAACGAGAGCCGCTATCAGATTCAGAAGAGGTCGACCAAGTCGCTACTAAAAAACGAAAGCTCCAACTGGAAAATAGCCCTGAAAATAATGCCTGGGTCCCTCCATCGATTACAGAGATAAGCGAACCGTTGAACTTCGACTCTTCTACATACCATTCGGCCATTCCACGAGAAATTAAAGCACATATGACAGATCCAGTGGTACTTGGGGTCGACGAGGCCGGAAGAGGACCCGTATTGGGTCCCATGGTCTACGGCATTGCATATTCGCTCGAATCCTACCTGAAAGACTTACAAACAAAGTACGGGTTTGCCGATTCCAAGACGCTTAAGGACGACAAAAGACGCCAATTGTTCCAGATGATAGAAAATGACACCCACGAGTTACACGGGCATGTTGGGTGGGCTACCACCACCATGACAGCCAAGGACATCTCGAGTGGCATGCTCCAGACCGTATTGGGCAAAGGATCATACAATTTGAACGAACAGGCCCACGATACCACCATCCAATTGATCAAACAGGTGATCGCCAAAGGAGTCAACGTTACCAAGGTGTTTGTCGATACCGTAGGTCCCCCGGCATCGTACCAGGCCAAATTGCTGAAGATCTTCCCCTCCGTTACCGTCACTGTCGCCAAAAAGGCCGACAGCATCTATCCCATCGTCAGTACGGCCTCCGTCGTGGCCAAAGTCACCCGTGATCTCAATCTACATTTCTACAACACCCATTTGCCCCTTCTACACAACCACGCTCTAGGTTCGGGCTATCCTTCCGACCCCCACACCAGCAAGTGGCTCCACGCCAACGTCGACCGTGTATTCGGCTGGTGCTTTGGCCTCGTCCGCTTCTCGTGGCAGACGTCCAAGGACAGCTTGGAGAAGAATAATGCGGCTCCTGTCGTCTACGAGGCCCAATGTATCAAAGAGGACTCTGGATATCATGATGTAGGTGACTTCTTCCTGTCTTCCGACACTCCAGCCGCCAATTCTGGCCTCAATTCGTCTACACCACCCCTCATAATCGATTCTCTGTACTACGGCTCGACAGACGTCCTGCTCTAGTGTCCTCCACGTCCTCTGTATAATATAGTGTATAGTATTAATGCTATAGTAATGATTGCAAAATCTCGTCGGAATTTAAAAGCCGAAACATTGTGACACAAAACCGCGGGCGGAAGACAACCATGCGATCGATGAGTATTATAAACTAACTAACATAGTTATACCAACAATCAATCCAGTTTGTTTGACATATAACAGTTATATATTGGTAAACAGAAACAAGAATGAGTGCTTTAATCGCTGCGTCAAGATCTACCATGGCCTTCCGTGCCGTTGCTTGTACTAAACAATACAGTGCAGGGTATTTGCAATTAGCAAGATTATATTCATCAGGGAAATTTCCTCCTCATACGGTGATCAATATGCCAGCGTTATCGCCAACGATGACACAAGGTAACATTGGTAGTTGGAGTAAGAGTGTCGGAGACGAATTGCATGCGGGAGAAGCAATTGCTGAAATCGAAACCGATAAGGCCTCGATGGACTTTGAGTTTCAAGAGGACGGGTACTTGGCCAAGATTTTGTTAGGAGACGGGGCCAAGGACGTTCCAGTGGGTAAGCCAATTGCTGTGTACGTTGAAGAGTCGGAAGATGTGCAAGCTTTTGAGTCTTTCACCGCGGAAGATGCTGGCGATGCTAGCACCGAGGCCAAGGCACCAGAACCGGAAGCGGAAAAGGAATCCAAGCCAGAGGAATCGAAGCCAGAAGCCAGTGAAAAGAAGTCGAAGTCTGAAAGCGCTCCAGCTCCATCCAAGCCAGTTGCGGGTAGAATTTTCGCTTCTCCATTGGCCAAGACTATTGCGTTAGACAAGGGTATCGCTTTGAAGAACATCAAGGGTTCAGGACCAAACGGTAGAATTGTGGCCAAGGACGTCGAAAACTTCAAGGCTCCAGTCGCTGCTGCTGCTGGTGCTCCATCGGCTACCGGTGCTGCTGTTGCTTACGAAGATGTACCAATCTCAAACATGAGAAAGACCATTGCTACCAGATTAACCCAATCTACGCAAGAATCTCCTTCATACATCGTTCAATCGCAAATGTCTGTTTCCAAGTTGTTGAAGTTACGTCAATCTTTGAACGCTGCTGCTGACGGTAGATACAAGTTATCGATCAACGACTTGTTGATCAAGGCCATTGCTTTAGCCAACTTGAGAGTTCCAGAAGCCAACTCTGCCTGGTTACTTGACCAAGGTGTCATTAGAACCTACTCCAACGTCGATGTTTCGGTTGCTGTTGCCACCCCAACTGGTTTAATCACTCCAATTATCAAGAACGCCCACACCAAGGGTTTGTCTGCTATCTCGAACGAAATCAAGGAATTAGGTAAGAAGGCCAAGGCCGGTAAGTTGGCTCCTGAAGAATACCAAGGTGGTACCATCACCATCTCTAACTTGGGTATGAACCACGCCGTCAACAGTTTCACCTCGATTATTAACCCTCCTCAATCAGCTATCGTTGCTATCGGTACTGTCGACAAGAAGGCTGTTCCATCTAACGTTAACGAACAAGGTTTCGTCTTTGATGATGTTATGACCATCACCGGTACTTTCGACCACAGAACTGTCGATGGTGCTCTTGGTGGTGAATGGATTAAAGCATTAAAGACTATTGTCGAAAATCCTTTAGAAATGTTAGTCTAATTTAAATAAGATTAGCTTTTCTACTGAGCTTCATTGATTGAAAAATCTTAATACATCATAATCTAAAACATAATACAAAAATAAATCAACGAATAGAATAGAATATATGTCTTAGTTCGTGTAGCTTATTTTTAATATCGTATTTACTAGTAACATCCATATATTTCATCGAATTACAATATTTTATATTAGGACCTTTATTGTGTCTTTAGTGAGCATCAACAATCAACAATTTTTACTATAAAGTAAACACGTTTTGTTGATTTTCTTTTGTCTAGAAGTAAATATAGAGTAAAAATGACGTTGAAGACCATATATATTGCCAGACATGGTTATAGAGCAAATTGGTTGCCGCCTCCACATCCTCCAAATCCTACTGGTATCGATAGTGACCCGCCATTGGCTTCTCACGGAATCGACCAAGCTAAACAATTAGCCGGATATCTTAACTCATTACCTGCTAAAGAGCAACCGCAGTTTATATTATCATCTCCATTCTATAGATGTGTTCAAACAAGTGAGCCAATTTGTGATATGCTTTCTGTGCCGTTGGTATTGGAACGTGGTGTTGGTGAATGGTATAAGAAAGACCGTGGTATTGTCCCTGAACCAGCCAATTACGACGTGTTGAAGCCGTTTTTTTCTTGCTTACGAGATGCCAACGAATGGGATAGGGATTCGACAGTTGGGGTTATTCCCTCGTTGGACGGTGAATCGGAAGATGATATTTTTGCCAGAAGTGTGAAATTCTGGAAAAAGTTCATTCCTGTTTTCGAAGCGAGGTATCCAGAGATCACCACTATATTAATAGTCACCCATGCAGCTACCAAGATCGCTCTCGGTATGTCGTTACTTAAGTTCAACAACGTGTACGAAGCAATCGATAACGACAACACAGTGTTGAAAGCAGGTGCATGTTCCTTAGATAAGTACGAAAGAGGGGGTGATGACTGGTCTATTAAGATGAACGGGAATTGTGAATTCTTGTTAGATGGCGAAGAAATGAACTGGAACTTCCACTCAGCATTTGAAGCTGGTTCCGATGAAGATATTAAGGCGAGACAAGAGGAAGCCAAAAGAAGGGCAGAAGCCAACAACACCAAAGAACAACCTAACAGGGAACCTACCCCGGTAACAGAAATTGCGTCTGGATCAGAACAGTTGGCCAATGAGGAATACGAGGTACGTTCATAGAATATTTTTAGAATTTAATACAATAGAGATTTTCATTACTAACTCATAGCAAGAATTTTTATGTAACAATAGATGTACCAATGATTGGTAATTCGAACCTTTCACAGTTTGAAGATGCTAATCAATCGACTTCACAGTCGAAGCAAGATTCGAAGGAAAATATAACCTCCAATTCAAAACAGAACTATATTAAATCATCATCACATCTTCAAATCACCGATTTGAACAACAAAACTCCATTGATTAAATTGTCCAATAGTAACGTCAACACTGATAATGATTCCATCAATAACCTATCGGTGATAGATGGGAATATCTATCAAACGAATTGGACGAAACTAGTGGGGACTGAAATGATTTTTGATGACTACGGTGAATTAATTGGAAGTGTAAGAGAGCATTTGAAATGCGATGAAAACATAAAGGTCACGTCCAAGAATGAAAAGGACAAGAAGGATACGGATATGGCTGATGACGACAGCGACGTCAAGGTCAAAGATGAGCAAACTTCTTTCTTGTTAAAGGCTATTAAATCTGCTAAGAAAAAAGAAGCCGAAGTGGAAGTGTAATAATGTAGGTTAATTTAATAGATTTAAATTAGTTACAATTTATAAGATATCTTTTTGTATAATCAATCGGTATTAGCTGCGACAGGAAAAAGATCGAATTTTTATAGTACTATAAATGTATCTTTTCAGCAACGATTATCAATCGCATGATTAGCAATTATGTCATTTAATCACCCACTATACGACTGGTTGAAACAGTTTCAGTTTGTGTTGGCGTCAACATCGCCACGAAGATTGGAGATTCTCCAGAAGAACCTTCAAATCCAAGATATCACGATCATGCCATCTAACTTTGAGGAGAATCTACTGAAAGAAGAACACAGCTGCCAGGAATACGTCTCCAATACGTCATTAGGAAAGGGACAAGCGGTGGTGAAGCAATTGATCTCGCAAAACGGACCCAGCTCAGTTATCTTGTCGTCCGACACCATTATCACTTGCAATCAGGAAGTATTCGAAAAGCCCCAAACGAAGGAAAGACAGCTTGAAATGTTCCGAAAATATTGCCAGCATCCTGACTTGGAAGTTATAACGTCAGTGAATGTTATAAAATACGATTCAGCTACGAAAGACTCGATCATAAAATCGGCCATCGAGATCACCAAGCTAAGGTTCAACGACAAATTGTCGGACGAATTCTTGCAAAATTATGTTGAAAGCGAAGAGGGTTTGCATGTGGCAGGTGGCTTCAAGTACCAGGAACTAGGATGTTTATTGTTTAAGTCTATTGAGGGTGACTATTTCAACATTGTTGGTTTACCTGCTAGCACCACGTTCCAGTTATTGTCTGACATTTTACAACCGATTGAATGATTATGATTGTCTCCGTTCCAGTAGTATTATCTGTTTTCAATCTGCCTGTAATCAGATAACATAACTGTATGGCCAGAATAATATTTGACGAAAACTTTACAAGTGGATATGCCATTTCTATCTCCCGCTACTTTTAACAGTTTATCCCACAATACTAAAGGAAATACAGCCATATTTGCCTGATACTTACTCTTTAACATTACCTATATTTCGTAATGTTATGACTTCATATAATATAAGTATTTAATTATTAATTTTGCTGTAATCATAGCTATATCTAAATTTAGTACATCTCTAGACTATCCACTCCTTTAAATACTTCATTCTTTCTTGTAATTTCAACATTATTCAAATATATGTAAATAATCAAGTATTTGCACCTATTCTACATTTAAGATAAAGTCTTCATCTCGGTGAACCCAATGTTTTTTCTCCAAAAAAAACTACGCAAATCAATGGCATTTACACCGCAATAAAGACCCAATGCAATACACCACACAATACAGTCGCCTATACTAAGGAACATTACAATAACTATGGAAGAAGTAGACCTTATTAATACTATCATCCTGCATATATAATTATGTCCATAATTTGTGGTTTTGTGTAATGATTTATTTTTCAGGCGATGAGACCTAAATAAAAATTATTTTTGTAGTTAGATAAAGAGAGAACAGTAATAGCAGGCATAATATGGGTAAATTTAGTAATAATAAGAAGCAAAACGCTGATAAAAAGATCGAAGATATCGAGAAGGACTTACAATTGCCCGAATCTAGTGAAGAAGAATTGTCAGGCGAAGAAGAAGGTGCCGAGATCGGCGATGAGAGCGATGAGGATAGTGAAGAATTGGAAGGATTTTCCAGTGACAGTGACGAAGAAGACGACGTAGAAGACAAAGAGACTAAACAGCATTCCACTACAAAGACCAGCCCCACAGAAAAACACATACAGGCTTCCGGACACACGGTGACCAAAAAGAAGGCCGTTAGTGCAGCCTCCAACCCAGCCAAGAGCAAAAGAGGTGTCATATACGTCGGACGCATTCCCCACGGGTTCTACGAAGCCGAAATGAAGAAGTATTTCACACAGTTTGGAGATATTACCCGTTTGAGGTTGTCGAGAAACAAAAAGACTGGTAAGTCGAAGCACTATGGGTTCATCGAATTCGCCCACCATAACGTGGCCAAGGTCGCAGCCGAAACCATGAACAACTACCTCTTGTTCGGTCACTTGTTAAAGGTCCACTTGGTAGAAGACCCTAACATCCACGAAGACTTGTTCCAAGGTGCCAACATGAAATACAAGGTGATTCCATGGAAGAAAATCGGCCAGAACAAAAATGATGCCGCAAGATCCAAGGAAAAATGGGACAAATTGTCGCAAAAATGGTCCAAGAAGAGAGCTCTCAAACAAAAACAGTTATCGGACAAGGGCATCGACTTTGACTTGTCAACTATATAGTTTTATCCATTAATACACAAGCTTTACCGTAAACAACATGTAGCAGTTTTGAGTCCGTATACTTCGTTTAGACGTCACGTGATAAGCTCTTCAGTCGCTTACGTTCATGATAATTTTTATTGGGCTTGATCTCTTCACATGGAATTCTCCGACAAGAAATCAATATATATCGTACGTAATCGTCAACGGTTTGTTCTATAGATCAGAGAGAATAAGTTAAGTAAAATGTCGGAAGAAGAAGATTTGAAAGCATATACTTTAGATGAAGTTTCGCAACATAACACTGTAGAAGACCTTTGGGTTGTTTACAATGGAGGAGTATACGATATCACCAAATACATAGATGAGCATCCAGGTGGTGAAGAAGTTGTTATTGACGTTGCTGGTACGGATGCCACCGAAGCTTTCGAAGATATTGGACACTCTGACGATGCTCGTGAAATTTTGAAGGGATTATTGATTGGTAAGGTAGAAGGTGGTACCATCAAGTCGCCAGTCAGTACTGCTACCCAATCCGAAAGTACAGGTTCGTCGATGCCAATGCTTGCTATTTTTGTGTTGTTGATTGCTGCTGGTGTTTATTTTTATATCAAATAGGGATTTTGAAGTGTTTATAGTGAATACTACGTAATTCATATGCGGAACGGATGCTACGAGAGGGCATTGAGCTTGAATTGGGCAATTTAAGAGACTATTCGTGGCCACGAGTGAATCTACAATGTAGGCTACTTGTTGCTTCTGTTGACTAAATTTTCTGGTGCCAGATGGGTTTTGTCATAAGATAGCGTGTTGGCCAGTTTGTCGTTTTTGGAATCATGTGGTCGCGTATGAACTTTTCAAATGTTGGATTCTAGCAAACATCGGCTTTTTAGCAGCATGTGCATAGCTGGGTCGAATAACCGACAACGACCCGAAAACAAGTTTAGATGTCCTTAGAAGGAATTAGACGTAACAATACACGGTTCTGTGGTTTTGATAGGTCTACATAGATTGTTCCATATACCCGTTGTTGGCTTTTTTTTGGTATGACGTGCCTGTAAGCACTATAGTTTCCACGGGGAATACCATAAGCGATGTATTGGACGTTAGCTGGCATCTGTATAACCTTATAGTGTCAATGTATCATTGCCGGTCCACTATGCATATTTATTTATATCCAATTCCAATGCCTGATTGAGATATAACAGGTCTAATCAAGAGCCATGTTCGCAATTCATGTAGGAGGAAGGTTCGTCACATGTAGACTAATAGTGTACTTTTATGAATCATAAAATTGCAGTTTGTTTCTGATAAGTGTGTGTCGCATATAGGAACCGATTTGGGACATAATTAGCCACTTTGAAATATTATTCTTCATTCTATCAAGACAATGTCAAAGTATCAGCAAAGTGCATTATTCGTAAAGAGATTAGGATTGGAGTATCCAATCATTCAATCCCCAATGGCTGGTATCAGTACTATTAAATTGGCTTCTGTTATTAGCTCAATTGGAGGATTGGGATCGATCCCCCTCGCATCAGTTGATGCCAGAAAACAAAGTGGAATTGACTCAATAGGCAAGCAATTGAATGAGTTTAAGTCTTTAGCTAAGACTAATGTTGTTAATGTTAACTTTTTCTGCCATAATCATGAGGAACAACAAACACCTACTGCTACTCAAACTGAAAATTGGCACAAGCTTTTGGGTAAGGCGAGACCAAGTATTAACAAAGATATACCCAGTTTACAAAAATCCAATATTTCATTGACAGAGGTAGAGAGTAATCACCCCGAGATCTTCGTACAATTACTAGAGACATTGGTAGAATTCAAGCCTAAGGTAGTAAGTTTCCATTTTGGGTTTCCTTCCCAAAAGGCCATTAAATTTTTGCAGGAAAATGGAATTATGGTATTTGTTTCTGTCACCTCAGTCAAAGAAGCGAAACAATTGGTTGATTTAAAGGTTGATGGTCTAGTTAGTCAGGGGTATGAAGCTGGTGGACATAGAGGAAACTTTTTGGTTAGTGAAAAATTAGATGAGAATTTGTCTACCTTTTCTTTATTCACTCAAATAAAGAAAATAGTAGACAATGCATCTTGGAAGCCTTTTATTATCCCAGCTGGTGGAATCATGGATGGTAAGACCATTGAAAATTATTTGGCTAATGGTGCCTCAGGTGTTCAACTTGGGACAATCTTCTTAAGTACACCAGAATCTAATTCGAATGACTTTATCAAAAATGTCGTTTCGGGCTCTAATGACACTCCAACAATAATGACAAGATTGGTTTCTGGTAAACCTGCTAGGTGTTTACGCACACCATTTATCCAAACTCTAATTGAGGATTGTGATAATCTAAAACTCGATGATCAGCCTCCATATGGTTATGCTTATTATGGCTACAAAACTATGACAGGCTTGCTTAAGGATCCACAGTATGGCTTTTATTTGGCTGGTCAAAATTACCACCAAATTAGTCCAGACTTTAACACAGAACAAGTTTTCTTAAAACTAGTAGATGAACTTAAACAAGCTGGATTTAACACTAAAACTATATAATTCTTTAGATTCTTATATGAAGTTATTATTAACCTTCGTATTATACATATGTTTTGATACAAATGGCGCTCTATTCTGGTTTTACTTAATATTTTGCAGCTACGAAATTTTAAAAAACTTAACGTATAAGTAACATCTTACAACAAATACTTCATATGGAAAGCTTGGGTCTATCTTTGTTAGTATGTAGTTTAGTGTGTTACGTTTAATATTTTTCTTATGATTCAAGTTTGTGTTATTCTTTAAATTGCAAATTTTAACAAGTTTTAACAAAAAACTAGAAATTTTTCAAAAGAATGATTACAAGAACAAAATTAAAATGTAACAAATAAATATATTGAAAACATGAAAGAGATTGATACCTACATTGAAGAAAAATACTCTCTAAGACTGTTTAGCTTTGTTATCTATTGTACATATCTATATTCATTTAATTATTTGCCTTTAAACAGTACATTCTGACCGGATATAATTCTTTTGGTAATCCCTTTTGGATATCACTAGCAATTAACTTAAACCCAGCCTTAATGAATAATTCTCTAAATTTTGCATCACTTCTTGTTACTGAAGAATCAGTTTCATCGAAAATATCTTCATCTGGGGCAATATTTTCCTTAACAATCAAAGTACCAATACCATTACCAATCAATGCAGTTCTACATCTTTCCCAGAACTTGACTAATTCTTCATCCGGCAATTGGCCAACACACCATTGGCACCAAACTAACCAATATTTTTCCACTTTTTCTGCATCACACTCCCACTCTTGCATACCGATATCGTAAATATCTCCTAATTTCCCTTTATTTTTAACATCTACTAACTCGTTGTTCATTTGAGCAACAAATGGCTTGACTGGTTCCAATAAATCACATTTATCACTTACTTTCCATAATAAGTCTCTAGTTATTCTACCTATACCAGCACCCATATCAATAGTAAGCTTTTCTACCCCATCAGGACAGGACATTCTAGTTTGTAACTTTCTTAAAAAAGTAGAGGACCCAACGATATCTGCCTTAGGAACAGCGGTTTGTTCTCCAAACCCACCTAACACACCGTCAACCGATGCTGGCACCCCGGTCCAATAGTCGATAGCATCATTGTAATTTATTTGCGAATCAGCAGCAAGACCTTCATCCATGCTGTATTCTTCGCTAACATGAATAGACTTAACTGGCATATTTGTTGGTGTGTTCCTAAGAAGTTACTTTGATCTCTACTAAGTAAAACTTTTTTGAAATATGGGTCCGCGACATTTGAAGACATCATCACCAAATGTCGCGACATGGAAAACTATACGCGTAAGCTTTTGAGACATAAATAACGAACCTACCATAGTTAATTGTATACTTTTAGACTTAGTACGAGTTAAAATGACTTCCAATTATTTTGATTTGGATGACATACTATCTGATGGTGAGAAGATCCCATGTCGTTTTAATATTACCGTACCAGGCTTGGGATATTTAGAGGGAAACCCTGGTAAACCAATTGCTAAAGATACAAAGATCGAATTACCATTGTGGCTTGCAGAAATCTTAGCCATATGTGAATTACTGGAGGATTCACAACAAAGTTTTATTGACTTATCACAACCTGATTTCATAAACTACAAAGTAATCAATGCTATCAAGACTAATGCTGTAAATATCGATTTGCATTCAATATTGACTAATTATTATAAATTGAGTGAAAAATGGGCATCAATGTTTAACGACGTGGAGTTAATAGATGTAGTCATGCAGATGTTGAAGGAGAGGTCATTTGAAATTAATAATTATGCAAGTAACGCAAGCAAACAGATCAACAATAATTTCATTTTCTCTCTAGATGAATTTGAAAAGAAATTATTTAAAGTCACGTCTGACAGTAATAAACAAATGAGAAAATGGTTAAAGGATTAAAATTGGGTAATAATTTATGTAATAAAGTATGATGTTTATTTTCAATTGCTTAGTATATTGATATAGAATTATAGCATGTTAATCGATACAAAAAATAGTAATACATTTATACAGTCTGAGGTAAGAAACGGCTACCTCATTGTTCATCTTGAGCTTGACTTTCATTTTGGGCTTCAGTCTGGGATTCTTCTTTCTGCGCGTCATCCGCGACACTTTCATTAGGCAATTCTTCATTATTTTCTTTCTGTCCTTCATCCACGGCATCTTCTTTAGGTAATTCATCATCATTTCCTGTTGGCTCATCACCTTCTTCATTAAATAGATCATCATCTAATTCGTCATCACTATCTTCTATAGTTTCCTTAGACAATTTAGATATCTTTCTCTTTTTAGATGTCTTGATTTCATCTTCTTCATTGTCATTTTCTTCACCCTTTCTCTTTGAATCATTATCAGGTTCAGAATCATCTTCAGATGGTGACGGCGCATCATCTTCACTGTCACTAACAACATTCTTCTTCTTTCCTTTCTTCTTACCTTTCGCGCCCTTAGTAGATGACTTTTTACTTCTCTTCTTCTTCTCTTCCATATTCGACTCCTTGTTGAACAATTTGTCGTCATCCTCATCATCAACAATAACATTCATTCTAGCTTCTTCTGCCCATTGTTGTGCTTGTGCTTGTAACTTCGCTCTTTCCTTGGCCATTTCTTCTTCAATTAGTCTTTCCTTTGCAATTCTTTCTTCTTGTTCTTGTAATAATTGAGCAGCCTCTTGTTCTCTTAATTCCTTGGCTTCCTTCAATCTAATTTCAGATTTAGTGACATTATCAACGGTTTCATCAAGGCATGCGTTTAATCTATTCAATAATGTATTGGTACCTAAATTAGCACGAGCCTTTAATTCTGATTTTGGATATGGCGGATGTTTTTCATCATCTGAGGATAAGGAATTCAAGGTCCCAATAGCTGTGTTCAAATTATCAATACCCTTCTTAATATCATCAATAAGTCTTTGTTCCACTGGAAGCTTACTAATAAATTCAGCAATTTGGAATTGGATATAAGCCATATTGAATCTTAATGAAGATTTCGCTCCAGTAGCATTTTGTAATGCCTTTTCAGAGTAGGATAATGCATTATTCAAGTAACTTAAGTTCTTTTCAGTTAAACCTCTTGAAAGCCAAGCACGACCCAAAAAGGATAAGATTTTAGAGTCATTATTTGCAAATCTCATTAATGCAATCTCATAGTTTTCAATAGCCTTGGAATATTGCTTCAAATCCAATAAAACATGACCCAAATTGAGATAAACTGATATATCATTTAATGAATCTCTAATTTTTCTCAAAATGTCTAAACCTTTATTAGATTCTTTATTTTCAATGTATACGATCGCTAAACCTTGAGCACCATAAACATTGTGGGGATCAACCGACAATACCTTAGTGAATAATTCTACCGCTCTGATATAGTATTTCTTTTTCTTTTCATCTTGACTCAGTCCTTTTATATCTCTCGCCATAATGCAGTAAATATTGGCCAACGACAATAATGCATAACAATCATGAGAATCATATTCAACCAATGTATCCTTTTGGTGATTGGTGTCTGCATCTGGTTTCATACCAACCTTCTTACCAAAAGTCTTTACGAACCAACCATAAAAGGAACGAATCTCCAAGTCCGATGCATTTAAATCCAATAAGTTTTCCACTTCTTGTTTAATTTCTTCTTTGGTAGATTTGTTAGTTGAGACACAATCTAAAAATAATAATCTCAATTTTGCAGAGAAATAATTTGGACAGTCTTTAAGCAAGGATTCGTAAATATCAATAGATTCTGATTCATTCGATAATTCCTTTGATCTAGCAAGGTTGAAAGATATCGTGACGCTTAAATCATCACGCAAGTCCATCAATACATCGCCATTTTCATCTTTGAAATCATTGCAAGTCTTTAATTTTTCAGAAGCTGTTTGGAAAATATTCGATGCAGCTTCATAATTATGCTTAATGAAATTAAAAACACCAATATTATTATAGATCTCTAACGGTGCATCTTGATTAATTTGTTTCCTGGATTCAATAGCCTTGTTTAAATAGGTCAATGATTGATTCATATCTTTAGACTCGTGTAGCTTACTTAATATCAAAAATGCGTTTAAAGCAACAGGTTCTTGGTTCATTATTTCCAGGCTATCATCTTCATTCTTGCTACTGGATTGTCCTCCCATATTTTTGGCTAATCGCAAGTATCTTTCTAACATAGACATTCCCTGTTCCTGCTTTCTCTTGCTTTTATGTTTTGAGTATAAAACACCTAAGGAATAATTTACTTCTAAACATTTGGGATTGGTCTTTAAGATAGATTCGTAAGTAATAGTGGCTTCTTCTGTAGAGCCACGGTTGATTTGTGATTGACCCAAACCTAATTTAGCCATCAAGTTATTTTCATTCAACTTAATAGCCTCGTGAAAGTATTTTTGCGATTGCATGAAATCAGATTTTGCGAAAGCAACTCTTCCCAACCAAAATGCAGCCTGCGATAATAAATTAGACTGAAATTTTGAAACCTTCGAAGGATTATATAACTTTGTCGATGCTGAATTACCAGAAATCGAGTGAATAACTTTATTGCAAATCTTTTCCACTAAAGTGTAGTCTTCCTTTGAAAAATAGTATGATGCTAAAGTTAATAAAATGATTGCATCATTAGAGTTTTCTTTATAATTATCTGCTAATTTGTTCAAGCACTTTTCATAGTTTAATTGGAAGTCTTTATCACCCAATGAATTATTGAAGTTAATATTGAAGCTAGCCAAATTTAATAAAATTTTAGCCTTCAAGTTAGTTGGGTCAAGTTCCAATGCCCTTCTCCATGAACTCAACGCCATTGGTTCATCTTTGAGAAACCAAAAGCATAAACCAATTCCGATTCTTGGGTCCGGTTTCATTAAGGGGTTTAAAATTAAAACTTGTTGATATAATTTTAATGCATTAGCATAATTCTTTGTTTTATTCAAGATAATCTGAGCCTTTCCTAATAAAGCAAAACAGTTATTATTGTCAATTTTCAATAATCTATCGAATATATCCAACGCTGGCTCAATTTGATCTTTATACAAGTATAGCACAGCTTTAGCCAATAAGACCGAAACACTACCTTTGGAGCTATCTAAGTTTGAAACCTGATTAAGTTCTTCGGTTGCATTAATCAAATTCTCCCCCTTATTTATTCCGCTGGAGACAAATTTCAAATACAACCAACTTAAGTATGAATGGAACGACAATTTATCTTCATTGTTAAACTGCGACAATCCCATAGCGGTTTTGATAACATTCAAACTTTCATTCAACTTATTCAGTTGAGCATAAGCTGTAGCTACTGAAATCCAATATTTCTTAGGACAGTTTTCTGTTTCCAAGAAACTGATTAATTCATTACTATCTTCGGGTAATTCATCAACTAAATTAATACTAACAATTTGTCCATTACTTAAGGGGACATCTAAATTTCCAATCGTTTCAGCCGCGTGTTTTCCTAAATAAAAGGATACATCTATTGGATCTTCCATGTCCGAGCCTATTCTGATTGTATATTTCGAGTGAGAGAGAACTGAACGCTAGTTTGAAGTTGACAGTGAATCTTGTTGATTTTAATTTTCAGAGTGAATGAAAATTACAACACGGGTCGTGCGAAACCATAAAAATCTATATTGATAACTATATAGTTTATAATCCATCTATTACTATCTGGTTATCTTTGTTAACCAAAGCAGTATGAACACAATCATTAAGCAAATTAGTAAGAATAATCTGCTGCGATATTTTAGTGTCAGATTTGATGAGTTGTCCTCTAATTTGAAAATTGTTTGGGTAATCAAGCAAATTGGACAAATCAATTGATACGAAGAGTTCAACTTTGAAATTAAGTTTGCCACAGTAGTAGCGTATTTTGAAATTTATTACATTGTCTTGCGACTCAATGAAGACTATTGGTAACTTCCAGGAGATTGCGTACACATCTTCGTCAATCGATTTTAATACGGACCAGTGCTTTTTGAAGGTTTGGAAGCTTTCAATTATAGTGGACCCAGTAATTATGTTGAACAATTTTGGTGCAATATTGGTCGTAATGAAGGAATTATTGAATGAAGCAGAAGAATTCTGATCTACAGAATAGCTTATGTTGGATAAGTCATAAATATCCTTAAAATCCATTGCAACTACCACACCAATGAAATTGAAAACGAGCTTAGTGCCCTCCATGCATTTGTAGTTCAAACCAGTAAAGGATTGTAGAAAGTTGAATTTTAATTTGAGTAACTCGATTTCTGACAACTCATACTTTTTATTTCTATTCAAAGACTTCTCCACGTCATTTATTTCATCAGTGAATGCATTGATCAAAGCTTTATTATCGCTGATAATTGAATTTAGTTTATTTAGTTCTTTATTCTGTAAGGTTTGATTTTGTTGGTTTTCCTTAAATTGCTTACATGTTACTGCCAATTCATTCCTTAAGGAGAATAAATCACTGGAACCCAAATCATTGCAATTACTTTCGATTTGCAACAATTGGTTCAATTGATTTGATAAATTGTCAAATTTGTCTTTCAATTGTTCGTGAATTCCATTAATAAGTGTCAAGTTCTTCAATAGAAGCAGCCTATCTTGAACAAGAGTGCCATGCTTCTCATCTAATTGGATCATCAAATTCTTGATTAACTGAGTTCTCCACCCGTACCAAACCTCCTTAGCTTGAAGCCTCGTGTAATCTTTGATTAATTGAAATTCCGACTTCATGCTTAATTTCTCATTTGGGCTACTCAGATAATACTGTTTGAATAATCTGGGATTGTTTTCCATGGTGAATTGATTAAATTGATCAAATAACACAATTCCGTCTTTAATATTTTTTGTAAGTTCCTTGCAACTGAAATCATATAGTTCCAATAATGGCATTTTATTCATAGCAGTAACAAACTCCTCAAATTTATAACTTTCTTCATCATTAATTTTCGGCAATGATATGCTTATTCTATCGACAGATTTAATACCAATTTCTAAGTCATCATAGAATCTAATGCTGATATCTTTCAAGAAATCATTTAATGAAACTGGTATGTAATTATGGTCTAGCTCATCATCATCTACGGATTCGGTACTTATATCAGCCAAGGGAATAGTGGTAGTAATTGTCTTATTGATACCATGATTATCAATCTTAGGATACTTGTGTGGTATTGGTTCAACATCATCGATCGTTCTCTTGAGTTGTATTTGTTTGATTTCACCATATTCCTGGGTCAATTGCATTTTTTGAGACTGTTGATCTATTTCATGATTTGTATCAACAGCAACCAGTTCATGTGGTTCAGCGTCTTGTTCTATTTGAGTTAGTTCCATGTATGTGGAATCTTGAGTATCTTTTTCAGCAAGTTGAATCGTTTCGTTCACATTCGTATTCGTAACATACTGACTAGAAATATTTGCATTTTGCTCTTGCTCAGATTCTACATTAGCATTATCTGAATGAAGCTCATTAATTTCATTACCTTGGTTCGCAGCTTCGTCTACAGCTTCGTTTTCTAAGTTTTTGCTTTCTTTATATGTTTTATCTTTATTATTTTCGAAATCTTGCTCTCCATTACTAAGTATCTCATCGGCATTACTCTCCGAAATAACTTCTCTCGAATCAGGTTCCAATGGTTGTTCAGTTTTCGTTCCATTCTCTTCATGATGTTGTTCAACTTTTTCATTATTTGAAGTGATTTCATTTTCAATTCCTTGAAGATGACTATGCCCTAATCGGTTATCAGCACCTTTATCGGATATATTTATCTTTCCTATCTCTTGAGTAAATTCCATAATTGATTCATTTTCTGGGATTTTCAGACCTTCATTGTATTGCATTATTGGTTCAGCATCAGGTACCTCATTTATCAATTCAAGTCTACTTTCTTGCTGATATATTTTAGTTATATCCATGGTAATTTCCTGATTGAAATGATCACTCTCCATATAACTGGTGCTGTTTTGGGCATTCATCTCCGAATAGAATTTAGTTATGTCCATAGTTTCTTCCAATTCATTCTCGTTTTGTTGCTGAGTTTGTTGATCTTCGCCATTATTCACCTCTACATTATATTCTAAATTCTTATGACCATTAGCGTATGTCAAAATATCCATAGGATCTTCATGTAAATGCTCGCCGGTATTCGTAGCCGATGTCTGATCTCGATTTATTTCAGGAACATGGTCTGGAATGTCATGGCTTTCAATATCCTGTTCAGGTTTTTCAACATTCAGCTTTTCAGAATCTACATCATTTCCAACGAATGTGACAATATTTTGGTTAAGGCCAATGTTGCTGGTTAGTTCCATATCACCATCGTCTTCATCCTGGTGATATGGAGGTGAGACGATATAATCGGCTGCAGTGTCAACACTGACACCAGTTTGTTTCAAATTGGTCACTATTTGATTAGCATTATTGGCTGCGTCGGTAGCATCACCTTGGGCCACCTCATTATCACGCGTGTTATTTGTTGCAGCCTCGGGATTAGGAACAAATTGTGCCGTTAATTCCATAGTCTCTTCTTCACCCTCATCAGCATTGCCATCGAAATTTGCTAAATCATCGTCTGAATCTTCATCTATGTTATTACCATTATCGAGCTCACTATTCGTTCCTAAGTTCTCATCCGCATTTTCATGAGTAGTGCCAATCGGATTATCATCAGAAGTCGTGCTATTGCTATCATCCTTCGATTCAATAGATGAATTTCCAGAATCACTATTATCTCTCAGCAGCGGTATAATGGCTATAGTTTCTCTTCTTTTATCTACTTGTACTGGAACAAAATTTATCTTGTGGAGCGTCACTTCAGGGTGAAATGAGACTCTTCTATTTAAGCGGTTAGTGGATGGCAACAATGGTAGCGTTGTATCATTCTTCAAGATACTTCTAGACGGTCTCTCTCCCATATTTTCCTTATTCATGGTTACCGCTCTAATAGTATAATAAATATTATAGAGTATAGATCAGGTAAACAATCAATGTTTTGTAAACAAAAAAAATACAGATCCGGTACGCGTACGACAAAATATGGATTCGATGTCTTTTTATCCTAATTATACAATAAACCGTATTACTGCATTAATAACATCATGCTGGTGAAGGTATAGAGCGAATGCAAGGGTACATTTATCATTCATTTTTAATCCAAAGATTCGTTAAGCTTCCCGAGTAAATTCTTGTAGAAGGCTCTCTCTTGAACGAGAAACAAGACCAACAAGACTACAAACGGAAAGTATCCCAGTGGTGTCTTTTACTCCTATAAGTACCAGCGGGATTGGAGATGTTTGCTAGTCTCATGACTTGTTAAAGACTCAGTCCTACACGTATATTGGAAGTTTTACCTTGAAATTAAAGAGTTGCGACCCCGGGCCATCGGTGATAGTCCTGATTTGTAGAAATCATCTTAATATTCTGCTTCCATGTCTAAAGCAAGGACAAATATTCCACCTATCCACAAGCAACGATCAGAATATCCAAAACGTACCAGACTCTTATTCTTGAGTCCCCCCAAGTCGATTACTCCAGAATCCTCCGCTGCTTCCAACATATGTCCTACAATATACACATACTCCAGCATATATATCAATTCCAGCATATATAAATTACAGCATGTATCCTACTTCATATTCTTCAAAATTCCAGCCGCAATTGAACTAACCAGTTCAAACTGTTCCTTGCAACTTTCGCAGCTAATAATCTCCATACCAAAACTACTTGCGACTCAACTTAAAACTGCTTGAAAATACGAAAATGACTCTAGAATCCCCACACCTTGCTGTCCGCCAGAGCTTGTTTCCTAGAGCTATCGATATCCATCAGGAGGTTCTTCATGGGTTACTTATTCTTTTAATCTTGATTTTGCAAGCTCTTTAGAGATTAACTCCGCGAAGAACCTCGGTTAAATGGCAATTAGTACCCCAAATACCGAACTATCACAAGCTCCAGTCAACCGAAAAACCCCAGATACTTCTTTATAAATAAAAGAAAATACGTACTAATTATATATACTATTGATGGAATATAATTTGACAATAATTGAATTATAGATTGATTATATTAAAACAGAAAAAAAATGGTCGCTGATACAATTCTTTATCATCCAACATTCGGTAAATTAACCAGATTCCTTGATTCTACTCCAAAAAGAGAAAAATGTTTTAGATTAGTGGTATATTTGTCGAGATTTTTGTCGTACTACTTACAAAGACAAGGATTTTCACCAGATGTGGTTAACATATTTAAAGACTTGAAGCATCACATTACAATTATCAGAAAAGGTATGAGATTCTTGAAGCCTTTGAACCATCTTCAAGCTGCAGCCCAAACTTTCGATAATAAGTTAATGGATCCAGTTTTGCAAAAGACCACGGTTATTAGAAACTTGGGTTACGTTGGATACCTTTCATTGGATTCGATTGCATGGTTGAAGTTGATGAACATCCTCTCAGCCAAGAGGTTCCCAACGATCTCCACCTGGACGTCGAGATTCTGGTTGATTGCCTTGATTGCAGGTGTTATCAACTCGTTGAGAACTTTGAAGATCAGCAACGCCAAGTTGGAAGAAAAAGAAAGCGAAGAGGTTAACCAGAAGATTTATGCTGCCAAGAGAAAATTGGTCTGGGACTTCTTGGATATGTTCACCTGTTTGAACAGTTTGAACTATTTGCACTTCACCGAAGGAGATGTTGGTTTAGCTGGTACTATTACTTCGATTATGGGCTTACATGACTTGTGGAAGTCTTCTAAATAATGAATATACGGAGCATACGAGCCGTGGGTGGTTGGAAAACCATATTGCTTGCATGAAATGCTATTGTGACCTAGAGTCAAGTCAAATTCCCTTATTTATTCGCTTCTATAACAGTGTTATCATATACTATTTTTTTCACCTTCTTATTATATAGCAATACATATACAAGTACTCCATGTTGGTCTATTGGTCAAAGCCGTATGAGATTCGCAAATATGAGTGGTGTTATCTGATGCTAGTGCAATTTTTTCAGTTAAGCATCTTCTTCAACTTGCCGTATATATTGGTGAATATTGAGCCTTCTGCCTGTTATCGTACTACTTGGATTTCGTTTCATTATCATCAAATCCTTGGTAATACCCATTCCAGTACCATTTCATCACCAAATCCTTCAATTCTTTCTGTAGCTCTTCGCTGTTCGGTTGTTCTGCAATTATTTTTTCAAGACCTGGTGCCTCTACTGTTATTTGTTGTACTTGGTTGTGTGAAGCTTTCAAACTGGACCAGGTCTCGTGTATTCTGCTGTCTATAGATGACATATTGGTTAGAATAGACTTTTTCCGATTAAAATATCAACAATCAACCTAAAAACACAGTTTTAATAGTCTATCAATCTGTACAGCTCCCCAAGTTATAATATATAGGAAGTATTGTCTTATTCGTATAGTAGTATAACCATATTTTAGTGTAACTTGTAAACAAAAGCGTAACATGCAAACCATCTCATCACCTAAAAATTATTCAACTTGTTGATGATAAGCTGAATAAATATATATTCTACTAGAGACACACTTTAAATATGAATAATGAGGATATTAGGGAATTGAGGATTCATATTGGTAATATATCTCCTAAGTTGGCCGAAAGCCAACTGTCGTTAGAGACTAGACTAGGTAAATTCGGAAGAATTGTCAAGCCATTAGAGTTACATACAAAACCGATCCAGGATTTCTATTTTGGATTTATAACATTGGAACTCAGTAACGCAAGCTTTGAAAAGTTAAAGAATGCATTTCACGGGATTCTTTTCATGGGAATGAAATTAACCGTAGGTATTGCTAAACAAAATTTTCCCGAATCGTGGGAACAAGATTCCAAGAGGCCGGATTTATTGAAGCTCGACAGAATAAAAAGAGACCGGATTCAAAGAGCCAGGACTCAAAGAATAAACGAGGCGAATACTCCGTATTTTGTGAACAATATTGATGGTTCTATCGTGTCAGACTCGTTGAATATTGGTGCAAATGGAGCTTTGGGGTACTCGAAGTCTAGCCACACTTTTAATGACATGTCTGGAAATACGAAACACACTCAACCAACTCAAACTTTGGTAGGTACGAAATCGTATAGTACGGATACCATACTGAAGGATGTTGCGTGCCAGTCATACTCCAGAACTTCGGGAAAAGGGGAGATCATCAAAGGTAGACATAGAGTCACTAAGAGACCACATATTCATTTTGCAAAGGGACATCAAACATTGCGAATTTTGATTAACGGTGAATTGAAGCAAATACAAGGCTACAAGACGAAGTTATGGGGAATGGAAAAGCACAAGACTGCTAGAGATTTGACTTGGAAATATCATAATGGTACTTGGAGAAGTGGTGATGATCATATAATCGAGAAAAACACTACAGTAAAGATCAGAGATCCATTTATTGGTGGACCGCAACCCATAGAATGTGGAATTGACGGAGATAAGGCAGATAATTATGGTGTAGACATTGAAGTGGATTCTGAAGAGGACGAATTAAAAGAAGAAAGAAATAAGAATAGTGCTGTATTAGCTTCGTTGTTCACCAATTATGACTTTGATAAACCAATGGATTTAAGCGACGTCGATGATAATGGAATTGATGAAAAAGACATTATTTATGATAGTAAGGGACGTCGTAAAGTTAACAGATATGACTATGAAATTAAGGGCAAGGAAGACGATGATGAAGTGAATGAGTCTAAATATAATATCGATTCTAAGAAGGCTAAAGAATTAATCGATTCCTTTAAGCAAATTTCAGAAAGGCCCAAAGAAGAGGTCTACTTTGATGAAGACGACGAAGGTAATGAGCTAGATTTAGATGCATTGGGTAAACAATACACAACGGAAGCAATCAACAAAAAATATGACGAAGATGGATTTGAGGTTGTGAAGACCAGTACTGAATACCCAAATGATGCACACGTAGAAGAGTTTGATGAGGAAATGGGCGAACCTAACGAAGAAGGACAAACACAAGCCGAAGCAGAAGAATCAGAGGAAGCAGAGGAAGCAGAGGAGGCAGAGGAAGCAGAAGAAGCAGAAGAAGAAGAAGAGGAAGAAGAAGAAGAAGAGGAAGAAGAAGAAGAAGAAGAAGA